TTTAGAAAGAGAGAGGAAAGAGAAAACACTGAGTGAAATGTATTGTCGTAGAGAGTTTGTTGTTGCATACCCGTCTTGCCTTTTGCAAGGAGTATTTATACCTTAAAAGCTCATGATTGCTGTCAGTGTAGTCAGTAGGTGATCATTAGGCACAGGTTGCGTGTGCATTGATTCTGATGAGGAATGTCTTCTCTAATTAACTGCTCGGGGTCCCGAGCAATCAATGCTGGATCATCGGGATGCCGATGGTACAATGTTCTCCTCTCGGGGAGGATGCAATAAATGCTCTGTAACAGGAGCATTTATTGCCTTTCATTTCCGAGTCTTACCGCATTGAATGCGGTCTCATCAAGGGAATGGTGCAATTAATTGTTTGCTTTCCCAAAGCGCGTGTCGGCAACAGCATGCGGTTTGTCTGTCTTTGATGTGATATCATATGTCACGCGTCCATCCCCTATTGGCTATGACCTCTGTATTCCAGTATGTTCTGATATTACTTGTGTAAGACGAGGTCATGATGAATAGTCTAGACTAGCCTAGGTTGATGACCTGTACGTCAATAGCTTATCCTGGAGTAGAGGAAGCGTCTAGGATGGGGGTACCTCTCGGCACCGAGGAAAGGCTCATCTCGGGGACCGAGGGAGGTATGCCGACCGAGGTACGTATCAGACCGAGACCACGTGTCGGTTGTAAAAATATACTGAATGTATGATCCTATACGCCAGTACCTCGGGGGCGAGGACATTCGTGCGCCGATGGTGCTTGATCTTAACAAGTGTTTTAGTAAAACCGAGGACACGTGTTTTCATCATAGGATTTTTCAGAAAAATCTCAGTGTTTATGATGATTACCTATCATTCTTTTGTCAAACATTCTAACAGATCGAAGTTGACAGAACGGACCAAAAATTTCTATCTGCAGTATTTCCCCTGCATGTTATTCGTCATGCAACATCTAGAGCGAAATTGCTTATGAAATTCAATGGAATAGATTTCAAATAGGGCTGTCAATTTTACTTATTAACACGAACCCGACCCGACAAAAAATTTGAAAATGACACAATTAGTTGACACGAGTAATAAATGGATCAAATTAAAGTTAGACACGAATAACACAATAAAAGGATATTGTAAATATAAAATAAGTATCTAATGAGTATTGTAAACAGAAAACAAATATTTTATAATTTTTAATATATGAATTGTTGTTAAATTAAATAATATTTTATTAACAAAAACTCGACACGTATCAAAAGTGATACAACACGAAAATGACACGAAAAAAAGTGATACGATACGAAAATGACACAAAAGAAAGTGATACGATATGAAAATAACATAAAGAAAAGTGATACGACACGATACGAATAACATAAAAAACTTTGTAATTCCAAACATAACCTTCATTGTTTATGTTTGGGTTTCTTCTATGAAATTGCCTGTGAACAATTCCAAAATCCACAACTTCAAGCAGTCATTTATCATCAGAAACTGACATATTTTTACGCGTATATATATCAACTTCATGCAGCGATATGAAAAGATTATAAGAAAATCGTAATCTTTCCTACGCGTAGGAAGAGAGTTATAAGACAAATTGATTTCTTTGATTCCATCAAAGGGAAAAGATCTTGGGGAAAATGTTGTTGTGGAAAACAACAAACGTTCCGTGCTAGGAGTACAAAGTTCCTCGAAAGCATAGTAGTGGCCAAGTAGCTACATGGTTAAATACTAGGTCACCATTGTTTTAGCTGTACCTTTCTTTATAAGGAGCTATCCAAAGAAAAGACAATTCATCAAATTGGTACGAATACTCGAGGTAAGGAGCAGGATGAGTGATACATCCGGCGACTTCGGTGAAGAACGCAAGGAACGCTGGGCTCAGGTATTGATATATTCCATTGAGTGAAAGGAGTAAGACGGGTAAGAAGGCCGACCACATAAGAAGAGTGAATCAAAAAGCTTAGCTTTTCATGTAAGTTTGATCGGACACTCTTGACCGTTGAATAAAAAAAAAATAAGCTTTTTTCCAGATAAATTATTGTGATCCAAATTTTTTGGGGGTAAATTACTTTTGATTCAGTGTTAAAATCATGAGTAATGCTACTATTCAGACCTTGATGATGTGATTTTATTAACACTATTAGATGAAAAAAATTCTAATATTTGATAGAATTCACAATCAATCCAAAAATTATAATAAATCAAGTCAGCAAATAAGGTCACATTTTTAAGTCCACATAATATTACTCTAAATTCATTGGTTTTTTAAGCTTCATTACGTCTGAGTAAACAAATGCTAAAAAATAGGTTATTAAGAGGCAGCATCACATCTTTATTTTTGTTCTTATACATACCTCGACTAATCTTTTTTTCGGTCTGGTCATAGATAGGTCATCCATGTTGGGATTAGGGTATTTATGAGGGATCATGGTCTGGTCCCAAGAGGTTGGCAAGATTAGAACTCAGTACGTTTGTATGTCCGAACTAGAGTATTTATGAGAGATAAATATCTCATGATCTAACACTAAAAGATTAAAAAGATTCGAATTCAGAACGTTTATGTTTACTTGTCATTTCTATTATCACTTGAGCTACTCTTTGGGGTTACAAACACATCCCTTTTATTTACTTCGATTCCTACCTAGAAATTAATGGAGTGAGAATCTCTTTAATATATTTTTTTATTCAATTTTTAAAAAAACCGATCATCTAATCATAAATTTAAATGATGGCCCGCTATTTATGAACGAGACCCTTTACTCATCTGTGATTGAGTGCAATTAAGAAAAAAAAATGTATTAAAGTCGAGCTACGTCCGAAATTAACCTGATGAATGTACCCTTGGGTGAGATATTGCCTCCATTTTGTTCAATTCCTTGCCTTCAAGTCGTCTTTTTGAAAATAATAATAATAATAATAAAAGTTGTCTTCTTCCTCATTTTGGATAAGAGCCGTAACCATGGGCTGGGCGAATTTGACACGGATATGAAAAGCTGGGGAAAAAAAAGGCCCATGGGCCGGGTTGCAATATAACTGAATTTTAGGTCTTTAAGGCTTCTACTTCTATTAAGTAGAGACACGAGTTAAATATGATCGTCCAGGGATAACTCAAAAGGCCCAACCCATTCAGACAATAACCGCCTTACATTCAAAAAGTGGAGTTTGCTTCCACAATTATTTATTTATTATTAAATCGTTATACCACGTGACAATATTGTCATAATATAACTATTTGACTCAATATTTAACCATATTTACTCATAGCTAAGACAGTTGGTCCATTGCAAGTAAACTGTGCTAAACCTATTCACCTATGATTCGGGTGTGATTCTGAAGCGTAGGCCCAGCCCAATTTAAAAAGGCCGTCCTTTTCAGGTTTTTAAACATCACTGTGGCAAATGAATGAAGCCAAATTTTGAATCATCTTTCATTACAAAAATATAATATATTATATGCTAAATACTTAAAAAAGATGATGTTTTTCAATGTATTGAACAAAAAATTAAAACACCCCATTATAGACAAAGGAGGGTGTTTCTGATATAAACAATTAAAACACCCCATTGTTTTGTTAGTAGCACAAAATATTTTTTCAAGAACCAAATTATTATTATTTTTATTATTTTGCTCGTCAAATTAAGGGTGAGAACAAAGGAGAACGGTTAGAAACCACTCTGATAAACCTTTATTGGTGGGATCATAATACCACCGATCGCGTTCATTACTACTCTTGAGAACGAACTTAATTAGATTAATATAACGATTAACAACTGAGTTTCAATATGGACCTTAAGACTTGAATCTCCGACCGCAAGGTAAGAAATTTGACCGATTTATATAATCTACACATTTAGTCGGCATCAAAGGATTTTGAGGTATTTCTATAAGAAGAAGAAAAGGAAAAGGAAAACTTAATTGGTTATTAAGACTAAGTTTGTTCAACTAAAGGATAAGAAAGTGTTTAATTGCTTGAATTGTTTCAATCCATAAATAAAATAAAAGGACAAAGTTTTTATAAACACCGTGCATCGCTAGTTCTTATACTATATATTTAGGTGGGAGTTGAAAATAGTGTTGTGGTAACTCATACGTGCACCGGAATTTCCCGAGGAATGTGTCAATTGAACAACCAAAATCTTTCATTTCTTTGGGAAATTGTAATTTTTCCACACAGATCACCCAACTGTTCAGTTTTCCGGTGTAGAGGTTCGATCCATGCAAGGAAAAATCATAAACAAGTACCTACACCTCTTTTGGATTTCTTACTCTATACCTCAATTTCTTTCTTTCTTTCTTTCTTTTTTCAAGTTTAACGGTCAGAGGTGTTCAAACTTACTTACGCACACCTTGACTACTCTCCTCTTTAGTGTCAGTCAAAAATGAATCACCCACGTCGAAACTAAAGTATTCACAAGAGTTAAATTTCTCGCTACTATAAGATACTTTCAAATGTAACAATAAGATAATGCTGAAGAATAAGGAATATGGATCACCTATGTTGAAGTATGAAGAATTAGAGTCAATCTTTTCCTCCAGAAATGTGACACTCGTGAAATTAACTCAGGGCCTAGATTGTGGGAGCGCCAATAATAGAAAACTATGAAAAAAAATGATCGATTAGCATCTGCAGATATCATCACAAGAAGGAGCTTTTGCAGAGTAAACAACTTGATTAGAACAACTCGTAACATTATTATGATTATAAGGATCAAAACCTTGATACGAAGATCATCATACAGTGTCACATATTAACACCAGGTTACAGAGGATGGAATAACACCATCACCTAAAAATAATCAGATATTGAACTGCAAAAATAAGAAACTGCAAACGGATACTACTACATTTAGAATCAAGTATAAACTCCTCGAGTATCAAATGTCATCCTACTACCAATCACCAACGCTAACATTACTGATCCGCCAAAAAGGGAAGCCCATCTTGAAGTCTTCTTTACCAGAAAAACGCACTTGTAGATGGTAACAGTGGGAAATAACTTCACATCTTCGCGGACACAGCAGCAGGAGCAGGAGCAGGAGCCACACCTCCAGTAGTTGGCCTGTAAAAGAGCAAAAGTTCTGTTATCATTTTTAGTGAAAACATTACAGCCACACAAGGAACTTGCTAATGAACAGAAAAACCTCCATGCAACATGCAAATGGCAATAGAAGAAATCATTAATATTTGAAAAAAAATTGCTAATCAACTGCAGCAAATCTAGGGGTAGAAACTTACAGCCCAACAAAAACTTTAAAAGCATCATAGATACCCCACTGAGCTCCAGTAAGGGTTCCGATCATGACTATACGAAGAGGAAGACCACGAGTACACAGTTCCCATAAGCCCATCTTCTTCACAGCCTGCAACACATAGATTGCAATAAAATAAAACAAGCTATTGTAAAATAGAGAGACAATTGATGGTGGAAATGGCTATCTATCACTCACATCACCCACAGTTGCCCCCTTGGCATTGTTGAGAAAAGAGACCAGGTTATCAGCAGGGTGTGATACGATGGCACAGAATACACCCGCAACATATCCACCAGCAAAACTCACTCCAAGCTGAAAAGGCTTGCTACACTGTTCTTTTGGAGTTGGGATAGCGTACTTGTAAAGGAGCTCCACAATAGTCTCAAAAGATGCAAACTTCATCATTGTATCTGTGAAAATCCCAGTTTATTATCAGTAGGCCACACAAGAATGGGTTATCAAACACGAATCTCGCAGAAAACAATCCATGACGTAAACCAAGCTATAGGCAAATGGACAAATTGCACACACAATCCCCCAAATGTTCCCTGTCTAAAATTATGTCTATTGGGCACCAATACTTACTGAATGCATCCATGATTTATCAGAATTCAGAAACTAGAGAATACCAAATATTTGCAAATATCCCAGATTCAGATGCCAACTTTGGAAATGCAAAAGACCATAAGAACACCAGTGAAACCAACAAATTTGAGAATCAACACTCAAATTAAGATAGTACACCACCGTGATTAGCAATAGGTATTGTAGCTGAATGCATTGGTAAAAAAAGATTTCGAGCTAATAACAGTAACTGTATGTCTTCGAACCCCATGGAGAAGTGAGTATCAAAAAAAAGTGTTGATTCTAATTTCTCCACAGTTCAGAGGCATAAAGTACCATAACCAGGATAACACTGTGACACAACCCAAGTGGATTCGAGTGAACCGTGATTTGTGTTGCATCAATTTGCAATTAATTTAACAGAAAGACAATCAATTGATCAAAAGAACACAGAAGCAGCATGAAAATATTGTTTGTATAAATGAAAGAACAAGAGGAAACTAGTAAAATTTTACAACGATGATCAAAGTTCTGTACATAGACAAGCACAACACACATTGTTGATGTTTATGCAAATGCATGACCCTCCCCTAAACACAGAGAACAATGAAAAGTAGAAACAATTAATGATACTTAGCAAGACAAATCTCAAAATTCGTGAAAACGAAGTAATCCAGAGGCTTCATTATCTTGTGGAAACCAATAAGAATAAACAGCCAACTGCTCAAACAAATCAAGTAAAACAGAATAACGTATGTACGTCAGCTTACATGGAATCTGTCGTCCCCAAAGAGGAACAATCCCCTTATAAAGCCTGTACAGTGGATAAATTTTGAAATTAGTGCTTCCAAAAAGATAAACAAAAAACAAGGTATTTTCTGGGAAAAAAGGGTGCAACTCATTATTCCTGCTTAACTAACACTCAAGGTGTTTCGAATGAGAGCCATACCCAAGAGCGCCTTCAGACTTGATAAACTTTGGAAGGCCATCTGACAGACCTCTGGCAAACCCAGGCTGAGTCTGGACACGAACCTTCACTGCCTCAAAGGGACAGAGGGCAACATCAGCAATCACCTCAGCAGATGCAGATCCCGCAAGATAGATCAAAGTTTTGTACTTGGCTGCATACTCAGGACCAGCAATATCGGAATAGTACTTCTTGAAAAATTCATAAAATCCCATCTTGCATGCGCCCTGTGCACTGTAACCAAGCAAGGTTGGCACCCAGCCCCTAAACAAACCTTTAATTCCCTGCTCCTTGAGCAATATTCCAAAACCAGAAGAAATGGTCTTGTACTTTGCAGGGTCAATCTGAGAAGTTGAATTTATTAACGTTACTGTAATTTCTACATCATGGGATAATTTGTTTTTCGCAAGATCGTTAAATAAAGTCACTAAATAAGATTTATGTAATATTATTTTTTTTATCATAATCTTAACAAACCTAATCAAACATATATTCTATAAGAAATCCCTAATTCATAAAAAAAAATAATTTTATAAGAGTGTCAACAATGAGACAACATTAAATTTGAAAGTTTGAGAATTTTTTGTTTAATTTAAAAATTAAGTCAATTAGTTATACTATCAATAAAAAAAGATGTTAGAAAAACTTCAATACGAATACTAAACAATTAATATGCATCTAGAAAGAAAAATTAAATATTAAAAAATCTACATTATTATTATAAAAAGTTGAAAAAAAAACCTCAGCTTCAGGCCTCAAAACTTATCAAGCCACCCGTACACCAAGCATGAAGCATATACCAATTGTCCTGAACCAAAGAAAATGTCATAGACAAACAGCAACGAGAATGTGCGATGGTTGCAACACACTATTTTGATTTTTATCATCGTGTTGTTTGAATTTTTGGAACAATTACTGTGTGCTCTCCCCATGACAGCACAACAACAGGGATAGCTCTAGTATATTTAGGTATGTATATAATCAGTTTTAAACCGTGAAGGGATATAAACAAATAAGGAAACCAAAAAATAAATTCAATCCCCATCTACAAGTTAGCTCTGTAAATAAGCTTCTGAGTCACTAATTCCCTATCCAACACGCCAGTGGAAAATCAATAAGCAACAAAGATCTAAAATATATAGCCAACAAGTCCTCAAAATTACTATACAAAAATTCGATCAAATCCAAAAAGCTACTCATAAGAATCTGCATTTATCCACAAGTATATACGAAGGGAGATGGCAAGATAGAGAGAGGGATATGTCGAAATGGAAAAGGACCTGCATGTTACACTTGACAAGATCGAGAGGGGTGACGGACGTGTGAGTAAGTCCACAGCTGAAGACTCCACCGACGGTGCACGCGGCGTAGTATGCCGGCGAGAACATCTCGATCTTACCTGGCTCGTTCGGAGCTGGGATCACGAAGCTCTTCTTCGACGACGTTACTCCTCCATTAGATGAAATAGACGGTGAAGATGAAGAATTCAACATAATGTTCCGATTCGACATCAAGTGATCCATATCTATGAGCTTCTTGGATGCTGATGAAGACGAGTAGATGAAGCTTGGGATGAGAGATTGGCGATAGTTCTCTGAGAACGCCATTACGCGATGTGTGTTGTGTTGTGTTTGTGTTTGTTGTTTAGGTTTAGGTTTCGTATCAGAGTAGAAGAATTAATGGAGAAATGATGAGAGAAAGAGAGAGAGGGCACGAGAAAAACAAGGATCTGGCTTTTGGCGGGTCGCTCCCTCTCTCGTTCTCCAATTATATAGGGAAGTCGAAAATATGTGCTTTTTCAAAGGGCTGTCTCTCCTTGGACAATGAATTATTGCCCCCTGGTCTTCGTTGAATTTACAAGAATGTCTCTCTGTCCAAAGAATTTTATGCATTGGAATTTTCCTTGCGAGTGTCCGAAAATATTATTATGTAATAAATTTATGAATAAACTACATAAATAACCTTTAACCTATAATTTTCCTGTCAATTAAGTTTTTATATTAATTGAGTCTCTAAACTTTAAAATTTTAGTAATTAAGCATCTAAACTAAATTTTATGTCAATTGAGTCTCTAAACTATAAAATTTTAACAATTAAGTCCTTTATGTTTCCAAATGTTAAGTTTTTTGACGAAATTTCTCACATGCTCAATACATGAACAACTAATTAATGGTATTTTACATTATTTGTTCGAAATCTATCAAATGAAAATTCTTATTCCTTATACTCATCAACTGAAACCCTAAACCTAAGTCTCTTTCATATCTATTAAATGACGTAGATTAGCAAACTTTTCGAAAAGACTCGATTTATATAATCTGTTTTCTACACCAAATCGAAGAGTTTGTCGATCTATTTCATTTAATGGGTGTGAAAAAAGTTTAGAGGGTCAATTGATGGGTATAAGAAATGGAGTTTTTCGTTTAATAGGTTTCAAATTAACAATTTAAAATACCCTTAATTTGTTATTTATGTGATAAGCACGTAAGTCATTCTATCAAAAAATCTAAAAATTGCTAATAGAATGGCTTAATTGCTAAAATTTTAGAGTTTTTGGGCTTAATTAACAAAAAAATTAGTTCAAATGCTTGGTTGCTAAAATTTTAGTATTTAGTGACTCAATTAATATAACAATTAGTTTCTGGACTTAATTGACATACCAGTCGTACTTTAATGACTATTTGTACAATTTACTCTAAATTTATTTGAGCTATTGATTAAGTGAGAAGACATTTAGTGTATTCATTATAAAATGTTTATATTACAACTTAACAACTCATAATTAGTTGTATCAAAATATAACTTGACTAGTTAATATTTATATAATAAAATAGATAGATTTTTTTGTTTTTAACTTTTCACGGCTCAGATTAATTGACGATTATTGATCTAACAATTCTCATACCAAATTTTTCTAAGACTCCTATCGTTTATCTAACTCTCTTTATATTTATCTTACTCTTGCTCTCATGTTATTATCTGATTTTTTCTGTTTTTCAAGTGTTATTTTTTTATTATTTACTTTTATTCCATAAAACATATGAAACTACATGTTATGCAATTATTTATTCTATAAAATTAATTCAAAATTTTATATATCTGACAACATTTATTTTGTCACTTACTTTTTAATTTGTAAATAACACTTAATATGAATAAAAAATAGCATATATTTTTCATGAATTGAAGACTTTTTTATCTGAGCTTCACATCGTTGTCTGAAATTAGATCTAAATTGATTCAGGGTCTAAATTCTTCTAAAATTCTCATTGATAATGATTTTATATAGATTATTTTTTTAGTTTTTTTAATGTTTACTCTATTTGTTATAATTTTGGTTCTAAATTTTTTAAATTTTTTTGAACTATAAATTTTTCAAAAAAAATTTTCAACTTTGTAATTTACTTTCACTTATTTTCATGTGAACCAAAGATTTTTGTGTTTAACAAGTGGAAGTGGACGATTCTATTAAAAAAAACAGTGGGAGTGAACAATTTGTTTGATTTAAGTATGTGTGGTCAAGTATTTACCAAAAGAAAATTTATCAAATGATATAGTAAAGAATATGTTATGGTATGAAAAAATTTAAAATTTATGGGTTAAAATATAAATCTTTAAGTTTATATACAACAAAAAAAATTATAATTTAATGTCAATTTCATGTTGGTTTAATCAACAACAAATAATATTCAACACGAAATGAACCTTAAATTGTAAATTAATATATATTTTTATCAAAAATTGACATTTAAATTTGTCTAATTTTTATTCAACTTTGTCAAATTAATTTTTATTGTTATCAGATTAATATTAAAATTCATTTAATTATTTTTTTGGGGTATTAAATTATATCAATTTTTTGGGTACTAAATTAAATCTTATTTTATTTTATCAAATTTTTTTGGTTACTAAAGTTGGTGAAAGACAATTATAAAAATAATAATTTTTTTTGGGGATAAAATTATTACTTTCCGTTAGCAATATTGAAGGAAGGGAGACAGAAGGGATTTTTGTGCAATAAATTTTAAATTCTAGGGAATTCTGTGTTATTTATAAAATATTATGGGGTGTCCGCATAATATTGTCAAAACTCAAGGGAAGTCCGTATTTTTTACCCTATTTTTTAATTAGATATTAATTTTTTATTATTTTATCATAAAAACTTGAATTATTATATTTCTAATAAAAAACAGTTATTGATTAAAAAGGTTTGTTGGTAGCCAAAAAAAAATGTGTGAGAGTATGTATTCTATGTATATTTATATGTGGAGGATTGAAAATTTGGTAATTAAATTTATAATTTTACTGTGTCATTTGGGTTGAATGGTGATAGTATGATAAATTCATGAGTTTTATAAATGAGTGAGATGTGGTTGATTTTATTTATTACTTAAAGATTATGAATTTAATTGCGTTATATTAGTAATTTTTTTTCTTGAGATATTTATTACATGGGGATAGGGTGAATTGAAAACATAATAATTGTATTTATAATTATATTTTGTTATTGGATTGAGTGGTAGTAAAGGTGATAAATTCATAAGTCTTATAAATGAGCAAAATTTTATTTATTACTGAAATATTGTAAATTTCAATGGATTATGTTAGTATTTATTTTATTTTCAGAGACATTTGTATATATGGTATTGTTTTAAAAAGTTTTATATATTTTTTACGACAGTTCTATTAATATGGAGTATATGATCGGCGATATATTTTGAAGAATTGATATGAATATTTTTAAGCCATTCTTTTTGAATTTTAACAATTGTGTAAGAATTTTTTTATTTGTTATATAGTGTTTTTTAGGTACGAATA